AATTTGGTAGCATTGTATACTCTTTATAACCAGGTTACAAGCTGAAGTGGTTATAATTTGGTAGCATTGTGTATTCTTTATAACCTGGTTACAAGCTGAAGTGGGTATAATTTGGTAGAATTGTGTACTCTTTATAACCAGGTTCCAAGCTAAAGTGGTTATAATTTGGTACTATTGTGTTCTCTTTATAACCAGGTTACAGGCGAAAATGGTTATAATTTGGTAGCATTGTATACTCTTTACAACCAGGTTACAAGCTGAAGTGGTTATAATTTGGTAGCAATGTGTATTATTTATAACCTGGTTACAAGCTGAAGCGGGTATAATTTGGTAGAATTGTGTATTCTTTATAACCTGGTTACAAGCTAAAGTGGTTATAATTTGGTAGAATTGTGTACTCTTTATAACTAGGTTACAAGCTAAAGTGGTTATAATTTGGTAAAATTGTGTACTCTTTATAACCAGGTTACAAGCTATAGTGGTTATAATTTGGTAGAATTGTGTACTCTTTGTAACCATGTTATAAGCTAAAGTGGTTATAATTTGATACTATTGTGTTCTCTTTATAACCAGGTTACAGGCGAAAGTGGTTATAGTTTGATAGAATTGTGTTCTCTTTATAACCAGGTTACAGGCTAAAGTGGTTATAATTTGGTAACATTGTATACCCTTTATAACCAGGTTACAAGCTAAAGTGGTTATAATTTGGTAGAATTATATACTCTTTATAACCAGGTAACAGGCTATTGTGGTTATAATTGGGTAGAATTATATACTATTTATTATCAGGTTACAGGCTAATAATGGTTATAATTTGGTAGAATTATATACTATTTATAACCAGGTAACAGGCTGATGTGATTATAATTTGGTAGAATTATATACTTTTTATAGCCAGGTTACAGGCTAAAGTGGTTATAATTTGGTAGAATTATATACTCTTTATAACCAGGTTACAGGTTGATGTGATTATAATTTGGTAGAATTATATACTTTTTATAGCCAGGTTACAGGCTAAAGT